GAACCCAAATAAATTATTACAAAAAATTAGAAATTAAAAAAATATATTTAAATATGAAGTTATATTCATTATTTCACAGTTCTTTATTGAGAAATTGGAGGAAAATGATAGTTTGTACAATCAAATGCGTAATTAAGGGTGAAAATGACAATAAAATGAAAGGTATTGACGTTTTTCGCAACAATGGTGAAATGTATGGATACTATGTACTAATTACCCTTTTAATAATTTATTTGGGACTGGTTTGACTATTTAAAAAAAATTGGGACTATGATTGCAATTTTTTTCCTTTTTCCTTTTATTTTATTCATAGAGAAGGGTATAATAGTTATTTTACGATTTTTAATTGAGAAAATGAATGAAAATAACTTTTTGCGCAATGAAAGATTGAAATAAGAGAGAAAATGCCAAAAAAAATGAAATGTAAGGACATTGTCCATAATAACAAAGAAAGGTGCAGACGTTATGTGCTAATTACCCTTTTTTAAATAAATATTATTTTAAATAATGATTTTTTAGAGAATTGGTCAAAGTTGGGTGCATGTTATTTAAAAATACTTTATAAATGTTATAAAAATAATATGTGATGCCAATTTGTTAGGATGATTTGATGAGTTTTCAATGAATTAAAGAAAAGAAAATTTAGAATATAAATTTAAGAAAAGAAAATTGTACTCTAAAAAATCAACTTCTATAATTCAATTTTTTGTGATGATAAAATACTACAAATGAATAATTTTTTATACTATATTTGGTACATAAGAATTAATTGCTAATATATAAATTTGAACATCCATTAAAATTCCTAGATACATAAATAGAAGTAAATTTATCTAAATAATTCTAGTTTTATGAAGATCAAAATTCATCAAATCAGGATTCATTGAGTATGTATTAATATGAATGTTAATTAATTGAGAATTAATAACACGAAATTCTTACATAACAAAGATTTGATAATATTTATTATATATTAAAAAACATAAAATAAAGTATTATTAAAATAATTGAATTGTAGTAAAGTTAAAATCGTAAAAAAAATTATTCTCATCTAATGTAATATTTAATAGATTATAGACGCGTGGTTAAAAAGTAAGATTATGTGTAAAATATTTTATTATGTGAATGTGTGGTTAAAATTGAATATATAGAAAATAGAGTTTTGATAAAATGAAAGACAAACAAGTGCTTGCCTTCAATTTTAAGTTTGTTGAGCCCATTTTTAAGAGAATATATTTTGTAATAATAATTTTTAAAAAATGTGAAATTAAAAAATATGGAAACGTTTTAAATTTATGTCTAAAATTGTTTTAGTAGGAGAATATGTAATTAAAAATGAGTTTTTTAAATGAGAGGGTCATATGAGGACGTAAACTCCCATTTATTTATTCTTTTAAATGTACTAGTTTTGGCCAGTGCAATGCACGGGTTTTGTTATTTTTAAAGTTATGTTAGCGTTGCATATAAATTCAATGAAGTTAGTAAAATGAACTTTATTTAACAAAGTAAATTTACTTAGTGCATTAACTCTAAAAAGTGCTTATTTGATTTTTCACCAAAAAGATGTTATACATTTAGCAAAACTTCCTGCATATAAAACTTATAATTATTGGAAAAAACATATATTTTGAAGATGTCACATTTCCTCTGTTTAATACCATGACATAGGAGCATTGCATAATTACACTTCATCAAATTAAATTATAAAATATCCTAAACCAAGTCAAGCACCAAACTACACAAGCTAAAAATAATCTGCCAACCATGATTCTCAACAGAGTAAGGCAATGTAACTATCATTTAGGATCAATTTGTATAAAATGGAAGTCATTATCCGATAAAATAATTCAGAATATATCAATTTCTATCATAAATTCTCAAGCTTTTAGGTTAATTTACCTCAAGAAAATGCTCCAACATCTTGAACATTCAATCCGTAAAAGTTCAAAGGTATAAACTAAAACACAATCTTCAAAACCCTCAATTCAAGATTCTTTCTTTTGCTGAGAACCATCCAATGTTTTCCCATTTTCTTCCGATCTCGATTTTTCACCATTTCGTTGGTTATTTAACCTTTCTTTTTCCTTTTCCAATTCCTTCACAACCTCCTCCTTAGCCACGTTCTCAGCCTGCAAAATTGGCGCATAATAATCAGAATTAGCTTCCATATACTTTTTCAAAACAACGGTTTATAATAATTCAATAGAAAAACATAAATGGCAAACTAAATGTTTTTTACAACAATCGAAGGAAGAAATGCTAGAATGAAACGCTCTGTTTCAGATTGTTGAGATTCTCAAAAGGTAGAGCGATAGAGCTAGCACTATTGTGATGAACACACTGATACCAACCAAATTCTTTTCTCTCATAGAACAAAGAGCCTTCATACCAGGTTTAGCTATGTTAAACACTAAATCCTATCTCACTGCGATCATTTCTTCATTAATATTCTATTCAAATTTTAATATCATTCCTTTGGAAAAGTTACAATATCAGAAAAGAAAATGAAGAGGAAAAATAATAATTCTAGCAAGTTAACTTAATCACTCTTTATGAACAAAACCAAGTAACTGATAATCCACATAATAAATACCTACCTCATATGTCCATTCAGCTCAAACATTTTCTCAATCAATCCATCTCCGTTAGAAATTTTAAAAAAAATGCATTTAAAGAAAAAGGTTTCATTATTAAATTCCACATTTGGAAAAAATCAATTTCCTTTAACTGAAAAGAAACTAAAAATATGTATCATTGAAGCATATTTAAACAAAATCTACCAAAATTCCCCACCTTTTTGAAGCAAAATGTTATCATTCTTTTGAAGATATTATATTTTTCATTGTTAGTACTTTTGACACAGTGAAAAGAGCACATAGTTGAAGAAAGAAAACTTAAACTTCATTACTCTCTTCATCCGAATATCTGTAAATAAGAACAAATTTTCACATAATAGAAGGCATATACATTTTAGACTTTTTGAAACTAAAACGAAATTTTTACAATTATATGAGGAAGCTGTGCAAATACATGTGTTGTGTAAATGATCTGTGTGTATGGGTTTCAGTAATACTTTAATAGAGGTATTTTTTCTTGCTCTTATAATGCTACATACAATTAGACATGAGAGACTGGTTGTGGAAGATATAGGCTAACAAATATGGAAAATCAAAGCCTAATAGTTTACCTTGTTTTGAGATCACGCTAACAGAACAAAATTTGGTGCCATGGTCCCTCTCCTTCACGAGTAACCCATTATGAGGCTCAATTGACTATTTCAGTTTATCACAATCTTCAATAACTTCACAATATGTCAACCCTATAAAACTAAACGAAGTTCAAACCAAATAATCAGTTCCACAAACACAAGAAAACTAAGCAACTCCTTCCATTTCAACAACTTCGAATGGAAACAATATTAAGCAACTCCTTCCATTTGAACAACTTCCATTTGAAATGTGTTAGCTTACTTCAAGATCAAATTTGCAGAAAATATCAATAAGCACGTTCAACATTTCATTTATTTCCAATTTGGATCTATATAAAAGTATATTTTATAAGTAAGAGAGAAGACAAGTACTTTCAGGCTTTAGGTATCTAATTTCAGTCTTTACATCAGTATTACATTTAAGGCTTCTACTTCATTCTGCTGTATACAGGAAAATTCTACCTAAAAAATTCAAAGAAGTTGAGAACTTATGTGAGTTACTGGCAAATTATGCATTTATTTATATTAAAAAATTGACATTTACTAATAAAAATACCTTGTTTCAATTATTATTTCGAGTTTTAACTTCTTCGAACTCAATAATCAATAGGTTTAGGGCTCTGTTTATGAAACTGAATAATCAATAGTTTTGGGCAGCTCTTTGAGGAAAAGGGAAAGAAAAAGTGAAAATAAAAGTTTTAGGGAAATGACCTTGGTCTTGAGATCCTCAATCTTGAACTCAAACTACTCTTCATTTTATGTTGTATAGGACGCCGAGAGGGATCCTTCTTGTAAATCGTCTTCAAGAAATGGAAAAAACATATAGATGTGAAAATAAAATAAATGTAAAGCATTTTCAGTTGTTGAAGCGACTACTACAAAAATTTGAAGAGTGAAGTTACAAGTAGCA